ATTGTTGCACTATTTGCTTGTGCAGTCTTTTCACGTCTTTACTTCTGAAAGACTCTCAGATGCTCTTGTTATTCCCAGTCATGTTACTGACCTGTTGCCAAATGCTGTATTTTTAGCATTACACAACATTAACTTCTTCACCAGTGTTTTGTTGCCCCTGTCCCAGCTTTTTTGAAACGTGTTGCTGGCATCAAATTCAAAATGGGAAGACAGTAAAATTTCTCAGTTTTAACATCTGATATGCTGTTTTATACTATTTTTAATTAAGTATAGGGTTTAAGTGATTTAGGAAACAGGGTTGTATTTAAAGCACAATGGCCAAGATAATAACAATAAATAGAATAAACTTTCATTTTAAGCAAATTTGAAGTCTTTGTTTGAATTTTCTTTTTGACATGTGCAGTTTGGTGCAGTCGGAAGTGGAAAATCATCAGGCCCAATTGAGCAGGTTTCAGCTTCACTTAAGTTCTGTAAAGCAAGACATTCAGTCCATGGAAGAGAAGCTGCGTAGCGTATTCATAGCATGCAAAAGAAATCAGGTACAATCATGGCCCCTGAACATTGAAATTCTCTCCTTTACAGTCTTTTTCCAAGAGACGTTTCTGTGGATGGATATGTGCAAATATCTGCAACCTGTTGTAGGTGTGGGTGATATAATGATTTGGTATTGTTTTCATGACAAATTATGTCCCATTATGCTTTCCTGAACTTGTTGTGGTTGTTGTCACTACCTTGGGCACCACTTGGGCTTCTCTTCTAAATCTCTTTTTGTTTAAACAGCTTGTTTAAACAAAAAGAGATTTAGAAGAGAAGCCTAAGTGGTGTCGCTGTGTAAGGTTTCTTCCTAATGTCAGGAGATTGGGAGTCTGATTCTCAGCAATGCCAGAAGTCAAAGCATTTAAGCAGTTAAGCTATTTTTATGTGACATGACATGGCACGTCAATTAAAGGTTTGCCTCTGTTAACAGATTAGAGTTGGACGATTACTGAAAAGCCAAATAGCAAAAATATTTTTAGACATTTGGTGTTATTACTAACATGTTTATCAGGTTTATCATGTTACTATTTTCCAGTAATGTAATTCATCTCTTTCCTCATGGAGCCATTTCTCCAGACACACTGATCATATGAGCATTTTAAACATTAATTGTGTCAGTTTTATTCTTATGTGCATTGTACATTCTCATTTTCATTGCACAGGAGAGCATAAATCGGGTTAAAGCATCCATAACAGAGCTTGAGAACATTGAAGAGTCTCAGACTGAGGACATCAGTTCCCTGGTGTGTAGTCTGTGATATATTCATGTTTATGCAAACGTAGTTAATTATGTTGAGTTACTTAAGAAAAGTATCACCTCACTGACTGTACATACTCTGATGTATGACCCTGAAATTCCTAGGAAGAAGATGCTCAAGAAAATGAGCAGAAAATCGAGCTGGAGAGAAAAAATGTAAAAGAGGCACAAAGTGAACTGGAAAAGCATAATAAAGCTCTTGTGGAAATTGATCGGAAACACCAAGACATGAAAAATAAAAGGGAGCAGCTCACAGATGAAACAGAACAGTTAAAGGTTGTTGTTGAAGCTAAATTATGAATAAAACATTACAAGTCAACAAATTATACAGATTACTCAGTCGTTTGTTTTGTCCTGAGCAGGAGGAGCAAGTGAAAGCTGCGGCCGAGTGTTGTAAACTGGAGCAAAGCCTCAAGATTTTGGAAAAGAAACTCAAAGCACATCAGGATAATATTCAGGCCATGAGAGCTGAACTTGCCCTTAAAGAAGAGGAGAAAGAGGTAACAGGAAGGGGTCCTGCAGTTTATCCTGCACTTCAGTCATTTGGATAGTGTTCTTAGGCCATCATTGGGCTCCTTGCAGACTTTGCAAGTAGTTCCCACTTTGCAATTAGACAGCAGAAACATTGCAAAATATATATTCAACATTTGGAGAAACGAAGAGCAACAAGAAGTTTCAACACAATGCTATGCATTTCAATTTTGTTTTCTTTTAAGCTTAGAAAATTCCTTGCCCCTACCCCAATGACTCAGAAGGCAAAAAGACTTTGTTTCTGAGGAACATGAAACGTGTTATAGTGCTTGACGAACACATGCCTAATTTAACAAGATACCTCAAAGTCAAGCTATATACTTATCCATGTTTTCATATGAATTGGTCGAAGCATTCCTAAGTTAAAGTCTGAACAGGTGATTAGCATGTGGTGAGCATAATGTTAATACATATCAACATGTTTTTGGTAATTATTGAGATTCAAACTTTTGCATATATTTTAAGGCCAATTTTGTGAGTATCAGGAAAAAAGTATCATTTTATCAAATAAGCTAACTTTTTTTGTTCAAAAGGGACACAAATCGAAGAATCTTGGGAAACATTTTTTGCCCTTTCAGTACCATTTATTGAGAAAAGTTTAATTTATGGATGCCATTTATGGAGAAGAGTTTTAGGTTTGCACTGATGGATCATTCTAGAAGGCCAGTCAGAAGGCCATAAATCTGATCGCTTTAGCTTTGTAATCCCAGCTTCCTCTTTTTCATTAGGACTTTGAAGCAAAAGCCAGAGAAATCTGTCCCGTTCCTCAAAGACCAGATCGGAGTGCTGAGAGCATTGATACAGAGATCACACGTTTGCGCCAAAAGATCAGCTCACAAGAGAGCAGCCATGGCAACCAGGAGCAAGTGATTAGGTACGCATTTTACCACCTGGTGGATTTTGTGTTCTATTATTCAATAAGCATGATCTAAACAATTTATTATTACTTCATAGGGAATATGCAGAGGCTCATGGTAATTACAAAAACAAATCCGGCCAAGTGAGAGATCTGAAGAGGTTCATTGATCGCCTGGACAACATCATGACTGACAGGCAGGCCCGATATAAAACGCTGCGAAGGTAGTTTGGAAGGATATTACAAGGATATTGACTCTTAAAATGATATAAAGAAGCATGCTGATTGGTTTTTATCTGTAAATTATTGTTTAACCATGTGGTCAAAGTAGATCATACTTACAGAGCAAAGGTTTATCTGTTGACATGACTTAATTCTACATGATTTAATCAATGACTGGGACCAAATTTACAAAATATCTCTGGTGTCCTGTTATGACAGATCCCTCTCTGTGAGATGCAAGTTATACTTCAACAATTTCCTTATCAAGCTGCACTGTTGTGGGTCCATGATGTTTGATCACAACAATGAAACCCTCTCCATTTCAGTATGTTGTGTTATTATTTTTATTTCTTTTAATTCAAGTCTGATCTCAGATAACCTTAACATTGCACAGTTTCCTTGCTCACGTAATTCAGCTTATTAAGGCTCTGATGATTAGTTAATGAGTTGGACTGAGTTTATTTTAGTATGTAGGATTGAGTCTCATAGCTTAGTACACAGTACAGCATGTTGTGCACTGTGGGAAATATGTGCTGTTGGTGCTGAGATCTCCCTTCACTTGAGTTAATGTGTTGGTTTTAGGTGAAGCCTCCAGGTCAGGAGAAAGACAACATCAATGACATGCGGTCTCTGTCTGGTGGAGAGCGATCCTTCTCCACCGTTTGCTTCATTCTGTCATTGTGGGAGATCACTGAATCACCCTTCAGGTGTCTGGACGAGTTTGATGTCTACATGGTACGCATGTCAGATATTATAGTTATGTACAACAATGTTACATATTAATGTCATATTATTTATTTGTTTATTTGAGCAATTATTCAGATATGCATATACATTTTTTTTCCTATTAAGGATATGCATAATCGGCGAATCTCACTGGACCTCCTTCTTGAGCTCTCTGAGCGGCAGCATCTGCGCCAGTTCATTTTCATCACCCCTCAGACTACCAGGTAAAGAACTATAAATATCTCAGGATGTATAATGGGTAATGCTAATGCTGACATGCTAAAAGAAGCTCCATATTTTTGCAGCAGTCTACCCAAAAGTCCACATATTAAAATCCATCAGCTTCAAGATCCAGAGAGAGAAAGCGAGGAGGCTTTGCAAAGCACCCAGTGAAAAGATGGGACTGAAGTAAATTTCATTCATGAGAATGAATGGTATATTTTTATACATTTGTGAACTTTATTTTATTTATATTTTTTATTTGTTCAGTGTTTTAGCTCCTTTGTTTTAGTTCTCAGTGTTAAATATATCCTGTTAAAGGCTGAAACTGTAATCAACCAAAATTTTCTACAAAAAAGATAGAACTATGTGTTTAATGCTTCCTGTTTTTTGTGGAACACCCAGGTGTGCTGTTTCCTCAGTGCTTTGCCTTATTATCTCCTTTTGTATCACCTGTTAACTTCCTGTTCCTGTGTTGAAGGGAAGAGAGGAGTGATAGAAGTTAAAGACTGTTTGCCCTCTGTTTAGGGCAGGTTTACAACACATAAAGATGAGAGAGCACCAGTCACCGGTATTCTTTTTTGTCATTTATAGGGATGCAGCGATACTACTTTTTCCGTTCCAATATGATACCTGCCGAGTACCGAAACTCTGTCTAACCTTATAGCTCGATAGGTGCCTATAAATCCTTATATTTATACAGTTCCACTTTTGGAATGTTTTATTTTGGTAAAAGCAGTGTTCTGCATCACAGATAGAACATGCCAAGCTCGAATGACTGCCATTTCATTAGATCATTTGAATGGTTTCAGCGCTATGAAAAGTCATTGTGCTTTTTGACGTGGTTAGTCTTCACATGCTTGATTAAATTTGAAATACTGAAATCCTTGCAAGGATCGGTGATACATATTTTGAAGTGAGCACTGTTTTCTCCTGCTTGTCTCAAGCATGAAATAATCCCACACTGCCGTCATGTTGCTTGCTTCAATTAAGTTCCATCTACAGAAATTGCTTTGTGGTATCAGTATTCTCTGTTGCTGACACCAATACTGTATTTAAGTGCCAGTTTAAATAGGAGGCGGATACAGAATCGGATGAAACACGAGTCATTCGGTTCTCTTTGTCAAGTATCACACAGCCAAACACATACCATATGTTCTGAAAACAGCCCATAGACAGTTTATTGATTTGAATCACAATGTTGTCAGTGCAACGTTACATACTGAGTTGAAGACATGCCACAAATAAAACACAAACATCATATTACACAATCAAATGACTTTAAATTTGGTATTTCATTTCCATGTTAGGTACAAATATTTACATGGCAAAGATATACATCTGCAGTTTTGGGATTTTACAAACACAAGATTACTTTCTACAAGGAGGGCTTTGGAGGAAAAAAAACTGTGCAGCATCCTGAGCCTTATTGGACATACATGGGCTTGATGCTTTTGTTTGTGAAAAGCAAGAAAACAGGGACGCCACGTTTTCCTAGTTAGGTAAATGAAAATTGGAGGGAAACATTAGTGTCACTATGCACTCTTAATAAAAAAAAATCCATTTTGGGGTTCTTTAGCTTGGCCTTGTATGGGAACCCTTCCTAGACTGAGACAGGACCATTCCATAGATGTTATGTAAAACATACAGGAACGGTTCTACCCAGCACACCGTCCTCTTGTTTGACACACTCATTCTTCAGACAAGACAGAGACAGAATCCTCCAAGCAAGATCCGCTGAAGAACCTTTTTATTAAGAGTGCAAGTAGTGAGCAACGATATGTTTGCTTCAAGTGGTTAAATTAAGTTGTGGCTCAAAGCTCTTGCAAAACCCCTCATCATTTTCCATTAAAGATGCATTAAATTACTGTATAAACAGTGGTTATTTAAATGTCACGAACTTGTGTAGAAATATTTTACAAAAAACAGTTCAATAAAAACTTATCACATTTAGACTGAGGTTATATACCAAACACATTTGTAGCGGATTGCTTCTCGATTGCGATGTGGAGGGGTGTTATTAAAGCCCTCCAAGGAAAGAAAGGACATGATAAATTGCCTTTTCAAAATGAATCGATTTAACCAAATCTACAGGCATCCATACATGCACGCTGTGATATGATTCATACAGAAACAAAAAAGGGAATGAGTAAATATTTAATGTGGTTTGGCAGTTGTGTGCCACTTGCTGGAAAAGCCTGTGATTCGGTTTGACTTGTCGGCTTGCGACTGCAACAGTACTGAACGACTTATGACGCAGGTGTTCTAACCTTTGTCGCTGCAGAGGATAAACCAATACTAGAGTCGAATAAATGCTAAATTTGTCTAAGACGAGATCCACGACATTGTTGTCCTTACAGATAGCTTCTACAAATACACACTGTAAGTTTTTTTTGGGAGAGAACATGCACCCAAGGGAAGATATCTAATGGGCAGGTGAATCACAAATGTAAATCTCACACATCATTAGTATTGTAACTGTTATCATTTATAAGGCCTCCTTCTATTATTTGCCAAGGTTGCCAAAAGAAGAGATAGGAGCGATTAGGCTTTACACTTAGGACATGCATGCAAATAACTTACATTTATAATCAAGTACAAGCACATTTGGGAGGTAGGCTAAATTAACCCCTCTACCCTCCTTGCTGTTTAAGATCAAAGTTGAACATATTGTTTTAATAGAAATCGTTACATTTAGTGTGACGCTTTGCCTTTAATACCTGAACCACCGTACGCAATACAGCAGCTATTGTGGTAAATATGATCTTTAAGTATCGTAGCTATAAATGAAATAGCCTACTGTGGAGCACTTCACTGACTAACAATGAATGGAAGAATGAAAACAAGTTGACTTATTTTGCACACCTTACATTGTTGCAGGTTTGAAATTAAATGTATATTCTTAAGTCTTAGCATTTGACATTCCATGCATACTAGTTTTTCAACCACAAGAAGCAAGTTCATCTGAGTAGTCCAAATATATTTTTGTGTTAATCTTGTGGAACTGGCTGAACATGAATAAAACATTACAACATACTCAGTCCAGAGCATGCTGGCATGCATACCCTCACTTCTGCATGTCACACTGCAAAAGCAGTACAATGGACGGGTCACTCTTCGCCGCTTCTTTAAACTCATCCAGCGTGATCTGGTCGTCGTTGTTCTTATCCATCTTGCTAAAGATCCGATCCACCCTCTGCTCTGGTGTCAGCCCGTCCTCATTCATCTTCATCATGATCACAGTGCCAACCATTTTGTAAATAGCCTTTAAAGAAAAGGAAGAAACATATCCTTTCTTAGCCCACAGTAATAATGAAGAGTCGATACGAGATTGTAGTCTTTCAAAATGTCTCCTTTCACTTTGCTTTTTCTTTCATTTTAAAGGATATCCAATTGCTGAAATTCTGTATGTAATATGTAACATTTCATGTATGCTTTCCTTTCTCCAACTAAAAATGGGCAGTACGGCTTCGGTCTGAGCTGTGCCAACTTCCATCCTGGGCCAAGAGCCAAGGGAGAACGCAATTGGCCAGTTTCCCAGATGGTGTTGGGAGAAGCTGGGAGGAGTAGTTGGGGTCAGTCTTTTTTTTATGGAATGATATAGTTGTCATGCAGTGGTTTGCTCTCTTTTCCGACCCTTGACAATCCTGTGTAACTAGTGGCTCAGAGGGAGCATGGGTCACCTCATCCTTTGTAGAAAAGGGATACAATCATGTGATAGGTTGCTGTTTTGCCTCCGTATTTAAATGCTCTGAAACAGAACAATGAGCTGTCGGTTTTGACCCTATCAAACCTAACATCTCACTGGTGAGACATTTAGAGACATTGCTAATGTCCCCTTTAACTGGCTGAAACCTGCTGCCATAGTCATTATGACGCCTGCATGTTCATTTTGGGCACAGTAAAATGGATCAGCATGTGGAATTAAAGCTTTCTGTGTGTTACCGTGATGTCTGTCACTATGCAAGCAAAGCACAAGGCTGCCTTTTTTTGTTGGATGCATTGAGATATTTTGGGCGCACAAGCCAAAGGGACGATTCCATAGGCCCCAGAAAGACAGAGGCCCACAGAGTACCTTTTTTTTGCATGCAATTTTTAGGCTTCCTGAAAGATTCTTAATTAAAATTCTTTATTCATTAAATAATCATTAGAGGTGGGTAGTTCAAGTCCAGAGAGTAAAAAGTAAAAATGTGCTCCAGCATTTTGTTCCAAATGCATGGCTTCTCTAGCTAGTTTAAACCAGCAGTACAGGAGTTGGCAGGCAATGCATCTTGCATTCCGCCACCTGTCCAGTGTCCCCACCCCTCACTGTGTAAGTGTTTGGAGGTTTAGCCTTTTCGCGGTGTGTAAGAATGATGAGAAATATGTTTTGTTTAATTCAAATGAAGATGCTGCTAAAAATAACTAAAAGAACAGCAAAAGAAAGGGGAAGAAAGCATCACCCAGTTTTTCAGAGGTAAACATGGGTTGTCAACATACAATGAAGCTGTTAATAGAACGGAAGCTTATGCTATAGTAACTGCAGTTATCAAATGGAAATGAGCTGTGGAAACTGAGCAGTCTACAGAAAAACCCTACATCCTACTGCAAAGTTTATAGTATTTTCAAGTTTCCCTCTTAAATAAATAGTGCAGACAAAGTAAAAAAGTGAAGACGAAGTAAATAGTGGTCCAGTGTTCACTATGTATGCTAAGGACACTCTCTAGCCTCCCCCGTCTATCTTTCGGCCTGTAAGCAACATCACAATTTCAGCCAGTTGCAGTTCAGCCAGTAACAGTGTATTGAAATGCAGTCTAACATGCAGCCATGTTGATTATATCCTATAAGTCCTCACAGGAAAGTCTGTTCACTTGACGGCCATCTTGGCAATGCCCTGGCCAGGTATTTCCAGTCAAACAAGACTCCTATCTTTTTTTTAATGGGGAGAGACCTATAAAACTGAAACTAAAAGCCACATTACTGTTTCAAAAACATTCTTGAAATCACTGATAAAATCTGACAAAAGCAGTGCAAATAGTTTGTAGCGTTTGTCTCAAATAATGTGCAAAAAACACAGTTTGTCAGCTTGTTCTGGCTATTGGGCATATCTCCATAACGAGGCGGGGGAGCTTTTCCCACATGCAACCTAAGCAGCAAGTTGATTGGCTCATTTTATTGAAAGGTGGGATTTTTCCCCGTAAACAGACACCATGTTGAGCATTCCCATTCATTTTCCAACCAGTGGCCTGTCTCCTCCTTTAAAATGTCTCTGCTTATATTCACATTTACAGCTTTTTACATTCTAGGCAGGAGTTGGGATAATGGAGTTGTAATAAAAAAGAATAGAGCTATGAACAATTTGGCATGTTTTAATGTCGTGACAGATTCTGCTAAGGGAAATGAGACAAAGGGCCCGTGCGTGAAATATTCAGGGGGCCCAAAATTCCTACTGGCACTGGCAAAGCTGCTTTTTTCTGCTGACCTTAAAGGATTCATTTAAAAATGATCAGTTAGAACATTAAAACATTTCCTACTCTTTGGTTGTGACAATATCTTATGAGTCATTGTCCTTCTGCATGACTAAGAACTGCTCATATTTGCTACCAACAGCATTGACATCATCAGTAAAGGAAAGCTAATCAAGCAAACATACCCAAGTCACCACACTTCTAGAATTCTCTACTTTACAAGAAAAGTGTTACACCGCAGCTTACTGATGTAACTAATGTGCAAGTGTATAATTATTGTGCTCAGGAACAATGCATGAAGGCTGCAATACTGCAAATGGCCATTGGGAATAGTTTCTACACAGAACAAATAAATCTTACTGGTAAGAAGAATCAGCTTCAAAACAAATTGTCCAAACAAGTCTAGCGCACTACATTCGGGTGAAATGTGTTATGACTTCTAAATGGTTTATACATTATATGGCCAAAAGTATGTGGACATTGTGTATGTGTATTGTGTATGCTCACATTTATGTGAGCTTATTTGACATCCCATTCCAAAGCCATGGGCATTAATATGGAGTTGCCCCTCACCCCCATTTGTGACTAAGTTTCCACTCTTCTGGGAAGGCTTTCCAAAAGATTTGTCTGTGGGAATTTGTGTCTATTCTGTCAAAGGAGCATTTGTGAGGTCAGGCACTGATGTCAGACAAGAAGTCCTCGCTTGCAGTCTCTGTTCCAGTTCATCCCAAAGGTGTTCCCAAAGTGGGGTTGAGGTCAGGGCTCTGTGCAGGCCACTGGAGCTCCTCTACACCAAACTTGTCATTTTCTGCACAAGGGCAGAGTCACGCTGGAACAGAAAAAGGCCTTCCCCAAACTGTTTCCACAAAGTTGGAAGCATATAATTGTCTAAAATGTCTTTTTATGCTGTAGCATTAACATTACCATCCCTTGGAACTAAGGGGCTGAACCCTGGTAAAGGAGCCCCAGACCAGTATCTCTCCTCCACCAAACTTTACTGTTGGCACTATGTTTTCTGGTAAGTAGTATTCTCCTGGCTTCCGCCAAACGCAAATTCATTCATCGAACTGTTAGACAGTGAAGCATGATTCATCACTCCAGAGAACACCCATTCTACTGCCATTGTTTGTCTATGTGCTTGAGTTTATACACTTTTTAGCAATTGGTGTGGCAGAAACACCTGAACTCAAAAATTAGCAGTCATGTCCACATATTTTGGCCATATAGTGTATGTTAATGATGACCTTTTATTTTGGCTAATATTGAATATGGAATTGAGGCGAGCCTCAGAGTGACTGATTGGATACCCAAGGCACAAAGTAAGAAGGCCATAAATCCTGTCATGTCACATTTCTGTGATTATTTCATTTACTGGCTTGTATGTAAACGTGGCTCTGCTTCCCCATCTGGAAAAGCTGGTTTCAGAACCATACTATCATCTGGAAATCAAAACTAAATAATAAACACTATCATTAAAACATCTACCTACCTCTATAATTTCCAGCATCTCTACTCGGGTGATTTTTCCGTCTCCATCTAGGTCATACATGTTGAAGGCCCAGTTAAGCTTCTGCTCGAAGCTTCCCCGTGATGTGATGGACAGGGCACAAATGAACTCTCTGAAGTCAATAGTGCCGTCTCCATTCTTATCAAAGGTTCTGAAGGCATGCTGTGCAAACTTTGATGCATCACCATAAGGGAAGAACTGCAAGAAACACAACTGTGTTACAGACTTGATAATGTAATAGTGCTCAATTCAGGTAACCCTAATTCAAAACAGCCATTAGTTTTACCAAGGTCCTCTTGATATACATTACATAGAGTGAAAATAATAATACATACCAGTGCAATTAATCACTTTAAGTGAATGCTAGCATTTTAGTATTTCTGTGGTAGAAACTGATGTTGCCTGATTGTAAAGGCAAGTATGATCAAAAAATCTAATCTACACAATTTCCTAGGCTAATAAAGGAAGTGCTTACACTTGAACTCCGCTACATAACATTGACATAACCATTCCATAAATGTCATGGCGGATGTCATGAGCTGTTAAGAGTTGTAATGACATATTTTGTTCAGTGATATAACAGTGTCATATTACTGTTACTGGTAATTGTTGTGACAGATACCACAATGTTTGCAGTCATGACAGCTAACTAGAGCACGCTTACCAAAAAATGAGCATGTCACATAAGTTACCATGACGTCAAACATTACAGTATATGTCATGACAATTACTGGTAATGGTAACATGAAACTATTATACTGCTGAACAAAATTTGTTATAACAACTCTTGACAGCAGGTTTAAAATGGTACTCATTAGCTACATTATCTGCAAAGCTCCTGTGCAAAACTAAAAACGCAAACTTAAGACACCAAGCACCTCTCAGCTGAACGAGTACAGGGGAAACTGATTCAAACATCAATGCCCAGAATGCTTTCTGTGCCCACTTTAGGCTTAGGTATACACATGGACAAATCACCATGATGAGCTTACATCTAAATAGCGAACTGGATCTCTAATTTGTAGCAGTTTAACATTATGGAACACCAGATATGTTAAGTCACAACTGATTTACACTTCACAGTTGCAGCAGAGGGAAATATCTTTTGGGAAATTACTGCATTCTGGGAAACATCTGAGCTATTGGAAATTATAACAAATAAATTCTATTTTTATGTAAGCCTGCTTACTGATATATCTAAATGCCATCACATAGATAAAGTTTCTCAGTAAACAGTCCCAAGGCAGCACAGCATGAGTAATCGTGTCAGAAGCACGCCTCATGGACCCTCAATATGGTAGGCGATGCAAAAGAACACAAGATGAATTTGCCCTCATGAAGATCCAGCTGACTGTAATAAAGTGTATTAAGTATGTAATTCAGCTATGCCTTGATGTTGTGAAATTTACCGCAATACTGTTCTAATTTACAGCTGAATCTTGACTCGGTCAACTTGTGGGCATGTTCCCTTTGACTACATTATAGGCTTTGCTCTGTTTGGCTTAAGAAATACTGCTCCAAACTAAAGCATCCATGAATGACTAAAACAAATCTGTTATGTAAGATACACAAAAGCTTAATCAAACACATTAAAATTCACTCACCTTGACATACAGTTGCTGGAACTCATCCAGGTTTAGCTTACCGCTGGGGCAATCTTTCAGGAAGCCCTTGTACCACTGCTTGAGCTCATGTTCATTAAACTCCGTGTTCTTCACCAGGTCCTCCATCACCTCAGGGGTTAGCTTGCTGTTCTGTTTCCCCATGATCTTTGCACAAAAGGGAAATATTTTTAGACACATGACTAATACCTGTTCAAGGGTTAGAATAAACAGTCTTTTGAAAAACTATTCATCATATAATATATGCCCCTGCTCCGCACTGTAGCCATGCAAAGCTCTGAGAGCACGAGTTCAAGTCAGATGTGGATGAAATTTTTAATTGTTAACACAAAATGTGCTCCATAAAGGGGTTCTTTAAACCTGTACTCAAAAAAGAGTACTTAAAGTTTCCTTCTGAGGTTTAAAAATGAACATTTTTTTCCTTTCCTGAATCTTTTAACAGGGAACCTTGAAGTCTGAAGGGCCAGAACTTGACTCTGTTATGGTCTTTGACAGTGGCACATTCATTACTGGCAGATGTAAAAAGTAAGGGTGGGCAATATGACAATATTGTATCATTATCATGATAAATTACATAAAGAGGTGCTTTTTCTAAGCATATTGTGGATATCAGCAGTACTTGAACATTTACAATTACATGTTTCATTACAAAGAGAGCATAATTCATTCTGAGTGCAGTGCAGTATGTGAAATAAATAAAATCATATCACTGTATTTTTGACCACAGCTTATCACTGTGGCATTAGTGGTGTACTGTGCCTGTTCCAATTTATGATACAAAAACAAAATACTGTGATACATATTGTGTATAATGGAACTGTCTTTGAGTACTGCGATGTTATATTTCTGACACATCGCCCACCTCTAATAGGACGTGCAATTATGTGTCTGATGTCCCTCGTTCTATATCACAGTAAGTCTGAATAACCACAAGCACATTACACAAATAACCAATAATACATTAGCTTACATTTATCACATGCTCTACACTTCCGATACATTAGAAATGTACAGACTGACTTTCATACTAGAGAGAACAGAAATAGTAAGCTTGTTTGCTGACAATTATCCTCATGTTCTTGCAACCTTATGTACTGACGAGCTCATTATGATAGATATATGCAGGACAGGCCAAAAGAATCTTCCTGAAAGTTTCAAAATGTACACTTCATTCATCAATCCATTCAGTCCATTTATGGAAACTAAGCTGCAAACACAGCTGTTTTGAATTAAATTTTTGTGATGTCACTGCATTTACATACACCTGTCTATTCAGCCTACAGCACTTTAGCCCCGTCCATTCAAGCATAAGTTTTGATGATTCAGCCAGAACTGATTTTTGGATAAAGCACAAATCAGCCTATTTAAAGGTACTCTATCATGGAAAATCAAATTTACCTCACTTTTTTGTTACACAGAACTTAACGTAGTATGTGAACACTGCTAGATTTCCCTAATTTACCATTTACTTCCCAGTCCATACAGTCCATACATGGAAACTAAGCTGCAAAAATGGCTCTGTTTTTGTAATGTCATACATTCACTTATTCGACCTACAACAGTTTAGCCCCGCCCATTTACTCTTAAGTTATAAGGAGTGTTTCAACCCAGAGCACTTTTTGAATGAGGCACAATACAAATATCAATTTAAAGGCAAAGTAACAAAAATGGTCTGTTTGATTCTAAACGATACAGAGAGATGGGAAAATAATATTGTAAATTATTTTTAGCGCATAAAATCACACAAATATTGTAAGAAAAATGTAGGATGTGGGCCTAAGGAATAAAGAAAGACCAGAAAATGATAGTGTAAAATGAATTACGGCTGTTTTTGGGATATAAAAACACAGAAATGTGGGATGTGGAATATGGGCCCTTTAAAAGCACCATCTTAACACATCAATGACAATACTTATTAAAATGACAACAACAATAATGTTATCATGGTGATGACTGTGATAATGATCATTGGCATTGTTATTATTAGTATTAGGCCTAGTAGTACAGGTAAATTTTATCTGTCTGCACATATGGATACCTTACGGCACATACTGCACTTCTGCAAATCTTATCGCACATTTTGAACATCTGGACATTACTCCACACCTAGTCACTAATTTCAGTACCAATTTATGCACATATTTATTCAGTATTGTCATTTCCTGCGCCTCCTTGTACATTCATTATTGCACTGCCTTTTTATCTCAGGATAGATCTATTGCATATTTTTGTATATTTTAGTTGTATATATGCCTGTAGGTAGTTTTTGTATATATTCTTCTTTTTATATTCTATCACCCTTATTATTATAACTGTCCTGTGTTATGTGACTGCTACTGGCTGCTAAATTTCCTTCGGGATCAATAAAGTATCTATCCGTCTATCTATCTATCTAGTAGTTGCATAGTGGCTTATAGTAATATAATTCACTCTTTTATTAAGACTGCATTTAAAGATTTGCTGTTTCTCTGACTCTGAAATGACAATATTGGCCTTATGGTCACCAGAGCTGTGACAAAATAAAGAGCCACAACTGACAAGTCTCCGCCTGTTCGTGATGAAACCTGTCAGAAGCTGGCCATGTCACTCAGACCCGTTTCACGTTGCATCGCCTGTTTTTTAACAGACCCACACACGGTAACTTGTAATGTTGGAAGAGGGGGGGGGGCTCTCCAGCACCTCCTCACCGTTTCACTGGGCTCCACTGGGCTGTTCTGCAGGTTGTCTCGTGCGAGCACTGCGCACCAAAAGCCACAGCAGCAGAGACGCTTTTTCAGTGATAACGACGGCTAATTAAAGAGACGCATAAATGGTTATTTAATTAGGCCGCACCGTTAACTAACCGCCAGGACTGTTATGTAAGAGCGCTGAGAGCTCCTCCAAGCTCCAACCCCTCAGTGAATGACCTTGAGAGAGGCAAAGCGCTGGGAGACCGTCTTCCATTGCAGTCTTGCGGTGCTGCCTTTAAAGCTACACTTGGCTGCTCGACGCCGTGGAGAGAAAACGAGTAAATAGGGCGGCTCGCTCAGGCTTTGCCATGTTTCGGTTAAGCCGATATATTAGCCCATTCCGCAGCGCCTGTGAGGCAGATTACGAAGGAGATGCCATTTAGGACATCCAAGTCAACACAGGCATGACAACATGAACAGGCTACTTATCACCACATATGTCGTCTTCCATTTTGGAAACGCTGGCTCTGCCATCCCTCTGCAGAAAAAAAAAACAACACAGACGCAGTGATATTGTGTCTGTGCTGGAGTGCCATCGTCCTAAGATACTACAGCTGGGGCTGAAGACCACCCCCCCCCCAAATGGCACTAAACACAAATGCAGTTCCATGAGCACGAGCACAGCAAGACCCTCCTTGAAGGCTGCTGCGTGCGTCCTGCACCATGTCTGCGCCGCTCATCACGAACCACAGGCTGATTTCTTCTCTATAAATCCATCTCTCCATCTTTCACCGCACCTTCACCGATAAACACGCATGCATGCATGCAGTGTGCGCTGAAAGCAGGCCATGCACCACGGGTATGTCATGCATGTGCGAAATCCTCGCTCATTCACACGTTCATTCATCCGTTCATTCACCCGTTTGCTGCAGGGAAACGCAACTGAGCCCCACGAACGAACCAAAACCAGCCACCAGCCCGTTTCCCCCGTTTTTTCTTTCTTTCTTACTTTCTTTCCTTCTTCCCAATAGCTTTGTGTTAGCAACCGCCTCTTACCTTGCAGGAGTTGGGAGAGGCTGATGGGGAGCGTGTGCGCGTTGGTGCTGAACGAAAACCGTCAGGAGCCTGCCCGAAAGCACGCGAAGCTGAGCCCCCCCTCACTGAACGCTTTAGCTATGTGTCAGTGCTGCTCCTCTCCTCTTATCTCCTCTGCTGTGCTTTTGTTTTGGTTTATTTGTTTGTTTTGGGTGCTCCTCAGCTCCTGGGAGGTGGCTCTCCTCTCCAGCTCCTCGGAGGTGGCTCTCTCCTCTCCTCTCCGATCGGGCTCGTGCTGCAGCTTGGGCTCGATGGCGCGGCTGCTGGAGTTTGCGCACACGGGCTCGTCTCCTTCTCGCGGCTCCTCATGTGAGCAAGCAGCGTTATATGGGCACGCAGTGCTGAGGCATGCTGGGCTGTGCACAGGAGGCAGTCCATGGGGGGCGGGGGGTTGTTTTGGTGTATGGCATGGCACCAAAATCTATGTTATTGTTTTAAAAAGATGTGCAATTCAGAAACACACATTTGTCTGAAAGCATCCCTCTTTTTGAGCTAGTTTAAGGTGCACCCATCACTGACACAGGCAATCAATCCAGCTTTTAATGTCCATAGAGAAGCGTTGCTGATAGAATGGGACACTCAGCCATGCATGAGACTAAGGTCACCATGCCTAATGCAAAGCATCAGCTTGAGGGGTACAGCATTGGGCTGTGGACTGTGTTCTCTATTGATGGAGCAACATCCAACACCTTTGTGATCAGTTGGAGTGATCCAGAACTGATCATCCAACATCAGCATTAGTGAGGTCAGTGTCTGACCTCACTAATGCTGCTGTGCCTGAATGTAATCAAATCCTCACATCCAGCATCTAGTACAAAGCCTTCCCTTAAGGCTAGAGTCCATTACTACAGCAAAGAGGGGACACATTTTTTAATAATTCAGAAATTTTGGATGAGCAGCTGTCTACAAACTTTTGGACATGTAGTATATTTTGGTAGATTCAGCTAATGCTATGCAAGTGGAGGAGATGGAGGGGATTTAGTGGTATTAATGACTGCAAAAGACAGGCTAAACTTGTATGATATGCACAAGGTGTCACACAATATTATCTATGACTGTCTATACAATCTAAGTATCAATACAATCTATAACTACTATGGATAAATCAGTAATTTCTGTTAAACTAATATGTAAGTTATGTAGAGATGAGAGTGAGAGATTGAAGGCTGGGCCCACATATAGACCTTTAGGATTTAAGTGATGAAACTCAAATTGTGTCCCCAGAGTCAGCATGTTTGACTTGGCAGCTTGTTTAATTTCCAACCTGTTTATTAGTGTTCAAATCAACAAGAAAAGCCACTGAAATGTTGTTACTGATGCTGATTCATTCCACTCAGTTTTTTTTTACTTTTTACAGTTTTTTCTTCACAGGAGAGGGCAAAAACATTCTTTATTTCAATATAAGTCAATGTAAAAAGATTTTATTCTAAGCAATTTTGAACTGTACTGGTCCATTCATCATTAAATTTTCACACAATGTAAAGGACAGCTGCCACGCCATGATATAGAACACTAAAAATAGAAAAAAATGGAGATATGTTTTTCTTTGGACAGCAATGATATGTTCATATATAAACAGTAAATGAATGGACTAAATATTGACACTGTTGACAGAACAGTTACAAATATAACTGATAAAATATGAAACAGTTTTACTAGAAACTGACCATATATGGTACTTAACCAGATCTGGTGGAAAAGATTATTTTAGAATACTTGAATAATACATTGATTTATATTTACATTTTGTTGGCAAAATGCATTTTTCCCTGCTCAGTGGCAGACAGATAAAGCATCAGTTTTAGCCTACATTCTATTGGAAAACATTTAAATCTGATTAGGAACAGGACTGACATCAAGCTCTATGGGCACCAAGGGAAATGTAACTAGAGAAATTGTGAATTAAACCCTGGGGTAAAAGTTTGAATGCTTCATTCAAATTACAAAAGAAAATGTAAAACACACATTACCAGCCTTTACATATTTAACTATCACTATAGATATGAGTACAGTATGTCATAAAATACATTGATATTTCTGATTTAATGCCTTCATTTATGACAACTGGATATTAAAGGGCACTTTTATTGAGAACAATGAGCACCACTCATTCAAAAACAATGATTTACAAAGTTATTTTAAAGGTATTACATGTTAATCTGATAACATCAACCATCAAAAGGAGCACTGATTTCCTGCGGGGAAAAAAAAACAAAACAGATTATCCTCCCAAAGCAAAAGAAAAAAGCAATTCTGTTAAATAATAGTATCCAAATAATTGGAACTAGAAAGAAACAAAAATGTTTGTGGTGAATATATCATTTATTTAGGCAAATAGTCATGCATTGTTGAAGATAAGAGACCCACATGCTTCCTGAGCATATCGGTTTGAAGCCCAAACTGTATCTGTCAGCATCCTTGATGAACCCTCATCCTCCACAGATCAGACTGAGGGGTCTATACTTTGCTGAGAGGGACAGAAAAAACACAGTAAGCTGCCTCTAAAAAGATTTTTGACTAGCAGCCTAATAACACTGGAACTACACATTCAATAACTGTACTTTCCATCCAATTGCACTTTTGAGGAATGAGTTTCATTACTTGAGAAATCACTAAGACCGGTGGGCTGCCACCAGCACTGGGAACAGAGCCGCTGGATAAGTGGTGACATGGAAAGTAGCTACAGCAGGATTTGGACTGATGTGATGAATTGATAGGATGGAGTGATGTGATCCATGGAGTAGTTTTGAAGGTAATGGATCAAACATATTTCTGTGGTTAGAAAACCTTGTTCTCAAAAGGAGGTTCAACAAAACCTTGCACCTTCTTTCAAATGGTTCCTTTGTAGGGGAAAGGAAAATGCTCCTAACATTTAATGCAAGTTAATGTAACAAGATTTTATTCCAAGAAATTGATTTTGAACCATTTCTATTGGTCCATTCATCATGAAACGTTCACACGATATAAAGAGCAGTTGCTGTGTTCAAATGGTGTAAAAATGCAAACGAAAAAAGGAATTACAAGTTTATAATCTACATAGTGAGAGACTACAATCTTTTCAAAAGAAATAAAAGTACATTCTGCACTGCAGAATATGTCCTGGTATTGGTCAGTTTGACACTTTGGCATCAATATAACATAATATCTCTTATTTCTCAGTTCAAGAGCCAGTATTCCATACACTGATTAACAAAGCCCTAAATGAAATACTCCCTTCCAATACTACAATAAACAGGCATGTCACAGCGGGGCAGTAATGTAACTCACTGTCCAAGCCCCAAGGAGAAAGGAGGTGCTTGGGCAAGGTTTGGTTTGGTGTACAGTTTACACTTGGGGAGGGGAGGGCAACAGAGACTGCACTTGCACAGCACACAAGCAAACAAGCGTTTCATACTTCATTTAACACATTATTATTGTTGTTAAGATTTAAGGGGATACAAGGGAATGCAATCAAAAAAAACAAAACAAAATCAGACCCCACACCCCACCCCTTGTAAAACTACCATCCTTCCTTTGCATCCCCTTTGGATTAATGCTGTTATATCACCTAATTCCATCTGTAGTTAGAATTTACACACCGATTTGCCTTGTCCAATGCATAAACAATACCAAAGCCCATGAAAAAAAAAAACATATCACAATAAAAATCACAAAATATCACAAATGTATTGATTGTCAGAAGTTTATAAAAAACAACATTTAATCCAAATTGAAATTGTCTTAATAGTAAATCTAGTATGAATAGAAAGTGTCTTGCTTATGAGTGTAAATGACAAATTGCATGATCTGTTAAATTAGCTTTGGCAGAACATTTACATTTTCTGTATTTTCTGCATGTATTTACTATACAGTTATATGCTGAACAATATAGATAGGCAGAAAATACAGGATATGAAAATGCTGATATTTATTTTGCTTTTCTGTGAATGGAGGGACACCTAGATCTAGGTTAGAAAAAAGCATTTATACTTTAGGTAATTTGGTCAGTGTCACAGACCTCAGTGAGGGGATATAAGTGTGGATATTTGTCTATTTAAATATATGTATCTATTATATCTATACATGTCTTGTATCTACAGTACTTATTTCTATATGTTTTAACATTTATGCATTGCAGTTTGAGTTGAAAAGAAGTCATTTTGTGGTTCAGTAAATTCATTTTATGCTTTTAACATTTAAACATATATCCTATTCCAGGACCTAAAAGTGTGCATAGCTGCATAATAGTTATATTCAAAATAGGTTGTAGTAGATATCCTAAAAATTGTTGCTATCCAGGCAATCCACAGTGTAAACAGAAGAGATAAATAAACCTGCTTTTTCCTGAAAAATGTAGCTGTAGGTTCTTATATCCCCCTCTACCATCCACACTGAAAGTTTTGTAGTCCGGCCACTGAATGTAGCTTCAAATAGTCTGATGTAACACTGGAACGCAAACCTATTATAGCTAATATTTCAGTTTACTTACCACATAGGGATCTGCAGTCAGCTTGTTAAGACATTATGTTGTGTGTGTTGTACATCACTGGTGAGGTTGTTGCTTTTCCGGAAGCAGAACACACAGCCAGTACTGTTCACCACAGGTACATTCACAAGGTGCTGCTTTCCAGCAGACATAGCTGTCAAAAGAAAAAACAATGGATTTGCAACAGTAAAGCTTCACAAGAAATTAAATAGAACAGCAAGATCTAGGCACAGCTTAAGCCTAAACCTGCACTATAAATGATTAGGAAACCAAAGAAACCCAGCAGACCAAGAATATGTTTAATAACACTCCTCTTAATTTCTTTTCACACCAGAATGAATATCATTGCTGTCCTGCAAAACTTTGTGTCTTCATTTTTGTTGTTTTTCAATTAATTGCACCAGTTGTAAACTGAAATTAACCTTTGCATTGGGTTAACATTTTATGATGGACAGACTGACAGAAATGGTCCAAACATCTTGTTATGATAAATTCCATTATCAGTTAAGATTATTTCTATCTTCTCCTTTAAAGTTACCATTTTAGAGATAAAAGGATTTGTCCAATAGCGATGATATGGTAGGTTAAATGTATTGCTCTTCTGATATATGTTCTTCCTTCAGAATAGCTATATTAAAAGGGTAAAAACACTTTTTGTTGTCAGGCTCTGTCTATGTACTATTATAGACCTACTGCTTGCTGTATTACCACAGACAGAAAATATTGTAAAAGTATACCACTATATAGAGTCTATATGGAGCACAGTATATGGTGTCAAATAACCTTTTTTTGGGATTATATAGAAACCTTTTAATAGTGTTATGTTTACACTCTTAAAAGGGTATGTAAGTAAGTATGTAAACAAATAAATAACAAAATTGCATGAGAACATCATTTTAAAATGTCTAATTGTTACAATTAAGCATTGGTGCATACTCTGGCATGAAATATCAAAGCATCAATGTGGTTACTGAACACTGATTTTGAAGGCCTGAGGGCTGACCAAATGAGGTGCCGTAGCTTCGTCCTGCAGTACAGAACTTTTGTTTGGACAACAGAAAGCTGTTATCCAAATCCAAAGATTATCAATTTAATTCAAATGCCCATTGACAACAACCAATACAACATTTTTCTATATATAGATGGGTGACACCAAACATAAAGTGTCTCAGTAAGATGTTTGTGCGTCGTGAGAACAGGTTCAGTTTTCCCTAGCATTGATTCTACAGGTCTCTGAAACTGAACACCATCCTTCCAAAAGATATTTCTTCAACTGGTGTTTTGATGATGGTGGTGGAGAGTGCTGTCTAACATGTCAGTGTAAAATCTCCTGAAGTCTAAAAAGGCGTTTAAGTGACTTGAGAGCTAGTGACTGCAAGGGCCATAACATATGATATGATCGTTTATTTTCATTATTTTTATTTTCATTACTTAATTATTCTATGTATATACATCTGCATTTGACATGTTTCTCATCTCATTTATTCTGGTTATTCCTCTAATTGTCATCCGCCTGTAACTGTACATATCATCACTGTTTTAAATGATAACTGAAAAAAAGTTTTTGTATGTGAATATACAGCTGCTTCAGACTGTCCCATTCTATTGACAATGCTTTTCTATAGAGATTATACAAGATATGCACATGCAATTGGTGCATCTTAAAGTAGCTGAATTCACTAATTAGAAGGGTTGCTGGAATACTTTTTGGACATGTACGTGAGCCCAAGGTCACCATGCTCGATGCCAAACATCAGCTAGAGGTGTATAAAACCTCCCAGCACTGGGCTGTGGAGCAGTGGAACTGGGTTCTCTGGAGTAATGGAGCTTCATCCAATACCTTTTGGATGAGTTGGAGTGATGTTTGTGATCCAGAGCTATTCATCCATTGCGTGCAGCCACGAATGCTCTCGTGACTGCATGCAATCAAATTCTCACAGCAATGTTCCAAAATCTGGTGTAAAGCTCTTGTGACATAAGCAATCATCCATTAATGGGCATCCAAATATGAGATGCACAACCAAGAACCACAACAGTTTATGAAATCCACTGTAGCTAAAAATAATACTGAATCATTGCTGGCAGGACAAAATCATTTCTCCATTTTGTAGTTTTTCTTAATTTTCACAAAAATATTTTTACGATTATTATCATTTGTTGTTAATAATTTATCCAAGTAGGCAAAGTCTGTTCACCACTTCCTAATCTTTGTTGCGTTTCTGTAGAGCTAAATCCCATCTTTTCACCCTGTTCTTTAACTTTCCCCACAAGAGCCTTCAGGTCCTCCTGATGAGTGTTGTGTCATCCACATGTTTCTTCCACATGACATCCATTGATGTTTCTTCCACCAATCTTGAAACTTCAATCATCTTTCTCCAGTCTTGCTTCTCTTATTATATGTTCAGGATACAAGTTGAACAAGCACGACGATAGTACGCAGCCATGTCTAACTCATTTGCTGAAGTGGAGCCAGTCTGTATGTCCATTGTCTGTCATGGCTGTGGTTTGCTGATCAGTGTAGAAAAAGGGGTCACAAATCTTATCAATAAAGGGCTGGTGTGGCTGCAGGTTTCAATTCCATCCAAGCAGGAGCACACCTCAGATAACTTCTCAATTGTTTGAACACTAAGATCAACTGATTAAACAAGCGGAATCAGGTGTACTTCTGCCTGATTGGATTGAAGACCTGCAGCCAGACTGGCCATTTGTGGATAAGACTGGTGACCAATGGAGTAGAGATTGCTCATTAGAACAATGGGATGCTCTGCTGTACTCGTTTTCCTGAGGACATTTCGTAATTATATGTGGTCAGCACACTTTGCTCAAGTCCATGAAACACATGTTGATTTCTTTCTTGAATTCCTCATTTTGTCCAGCGTACATCAGCAATGATATCACTTGTTCGTCTGCCCTTCCTGAATCCAGCTTGCATGTTTGGCAGTTCTGTTTTAGTGTAAGGCTCCAGTCCGTGTTGAATGATCTTGAGCCTAATTTTACTGGTGTGTGATGTAGGGGAAATTGTATAATAGTTTATACATTCATTCTGGACTCTTTCTTTAGTGTTGGGATATAAGCCAACCTCTTCCAATCTGCAATCTTCAAATCTAATGCTAATGCTCTTTGTGTTGGACAAAGGATGGACAAATAAAAATGGTTCAAAAATCTTGCTACATTAACTTCCATTTAAAGCTAAGAAGGATATTTTCCTTCTCCAGTAAAGTTACCATTTTGGAGATTTTGTCCTGACAATGACAAAACATAAGACATACACAATTTGTGTCTATCAGTTCACATTTCCCTATATGGAATTATGGAACCAACCTTAAATCCTGGTTCCCTCCTTTCTTTGCAGTCTTTGTATGAGGTAGTGAATCGTCATAATGCTTTATTAGCTTCTTGGTCATACTGCCTCTTGCCCAGTCTGGTGCCTTCCCTATTTGTCTAAGGATGAATGAGGAAGTCAGAGCAGTTGATGGTGTTTCACTTCCACTGCTTGTCTTATGTACCGATGGCACAAGAGCACTCATTCAATCTAAAAACAGCAAAAACATCATCCAGACATGTTTTATGCAAAATACGCCTAAAGTTTGCATAATGCTTATACATTCATCAGGTC